ATGGTTGGCTAGTGGAACTTTAGAGGGCAGAGTTTATGCCAGAATCTTCTAGAGTATCTGCTTTTACTTCGCCCGCCACTGCGGTAGCATCAACTTTCAGATTGAACTATCGCATTAGGTGTATTTATTGGAATGAATAAGAGCATGATTCCCAGTATTGACAACATAGAGAATCGGAATGGTAACTCAGTTAGAAGCATTATCTATGACAATCGCTACTGTATATTTTTATTATTGAATATCAGTGTTTCTCACATGTGAGTTTGCGATGTTTTGATAAATCGTCGGTTCACAATTATAGATGAAACCATGCAATACATTCCATTTTTATACTTTATGCTGATAAATTGTAAATGGATTTAGATTTTGTAATTCGTGGCTGATATAACGACTCAGACCTTACCTCAACACCGCCAGTAGGCCTGTTTCGGTGTCTTCTACAGTATAACAATGCGACTAGTAGAAGTAGAAGTAGTAAGATGATCACTACACTCATAGTTATAATAATGGCGCCTGAAAATAGTAAAGAAATGATCAAACGTTAAACTGTGAGCCTAACTCGTTTGCTGAAAATATTCATTCTTGGAATCTATACAGTCTAAAGCGGGGAGACGTCACCTACGCATGCGCCAGGTGGTCATAGCGTGTCATTGTTTACAAACTAGCGTCTACCCATGAGCCTTTGCGTTCTGTGTTGTTATCATCGCTTGGAACTCAATTCCAGTGCGTGCGCAGGTGACGACCCTCCTACTTTAAATAGAGTTGGTCTTCGCATAGCGCGTGTTCGAATTTCATGTTGTGTACGTCACTATATATTTCATACGAAACAGGACGCGGCGCGACGACCATCGCCCTTTAAATGCTTTGACGATATATGAATGAGTTACCTGTAGTTGACCCATCGGTTTCGCCAGTCGTTGGTTTTCCAGGAGTTGTCACTAGGCTTGAATATATAGTTTGGCTAGATGTCATGATTTTGGTTGAACTACGAAGAGAGGATGTTTTCCCAGAGGTGCTTGGTACGTTAGTAGGGGACGGTGATTTTGTTGTTATTGGTTCTGGGATTAATGTAGTTGTCTTTGATGTTGACCCTTGTGGTGTCGTGTTGGGTTTTGTGGTTGTTGGCTCTTCGGTAACTGTGGTTTGCTCATCGGTTGTGTAAACCGTAGTTGAATGAGGAGTTGTTATCGTAGCAGTAGTTTGCTGTAGCGTGGTGACCTTATCTTGCGTGGATACAATTGGCGAATCGGTGGTCGATAGTTCAGTCGTTGCGCGTGTTGATTGTGATGTACTTTCACTGGGACTGATGGACGGCTCTACCCTGCCGCTTGTGGTTTTGTAATCAGTAGTTTCCATTCCAGTTGTTTTCAACTCAGTGGTCGGTACGAATGTAGTGGTAGTTTTTCCTGAGGACACAGAGTCGGGGGTTGATGTGTACCGTGTTGTCGACGGCGTCTCAGTGGTGCCCGTGACTGTTGTAGTATAACTCACATCGGTGGTCGATAGTTTAGTCGCTGCACTTGCAGATTGTGATGTACTTTCACTGGGACTGGTGGACGGCTCTACCCCGACGCCTGTGGTTTTGTAATCAGTAGTTTCCATTCCAGTTGTTTTCAACTCAGTGGTCGGTACGAATGTAGTGGTAGGTTCTCTTGTGGACATAGAGTCGGAGGTTGGTGTATGCGTTGTTGTCGACGTGGTTGCAGTGGTTCCCGTGACTGTTGTAGTATAAAACACGTCCGGCGTGGTTTCCTCTGGCGTTGTAGAAAGTAGCAAATCTGTTGTCATGTCTATTGTTCCGTAATCAATTGTTGAGGTGTATGCTTCTGCTATAGAAATCTGTCGATTGGAAAAAAATTGACATTAATTATCCCAAAATACCAAAAGCATTACATTCAATTTAAATATTTTTACTTTCAGAATGTACAGGTGGCCGCAAAAAAATAGCGTTTTTTCGTGTAGAATAGCCTGATCACCAACTCAAGTTCGACTGGCCATTCTCTATCTAACGTGTTATGGATTGACTGGTAGAAGTTTGCCTTCACTATTAGTGGACGACCGTGACATTGACATTAATGAAGTGTGAACACCAAAAAATAAATTTGAATTGTAGCACTTTACCCAGTGAGAACATAGTGCTCGTATTTCGCCATTGTATTGTACTGCATTCTAAGTAGGCACAATTGCTATTAACTACTCAATCGATGTTTTAACTATGACCGACCCATGCCAAAGTGAATCGATGTCTAAAACCCGAAACTACGTAATTTGTTTGCTTATGTCAATAAAAGGTTCCCCAAACTCGATAGAAACGATGACCACACAAGATAGCACGCGGTTACAATGCGTCAATTTTCCGACCAATGAATGGTAGTTATACGTTTTCCCGTGCGAAGTTATTGCAGAAGAGAGCAATTCCAAAATACGGAAGAGTGGGAAACAAGCAGACCGTGAAAACGCATGCAAATTAACTATAAGAGCGCTTCGTCAAGACGCAATACATATAATATGTGTACTAATCCAGAGTTATTGAGAAACCAGATTTGTAATTGCATATTACAGAGTATGACATGGTAGGAGTGTGTACAAATCTTTTCCTGAGCAGTCGCTGGGCTGGCGTGGCTTGTTAGCTTGTGTATATATCTGGTATTGTCGCTTACGTGTAGGTTTCGCATACAAACACAACGTTCAGCACAGCCAATAAGGTTTGATTGACAAACCTCATGGACGGTGCTGAACGACACTTACATGAAACGTGAATTGTAATTGACCTTACCGTTGATGACTCATTGATTATGAAATAAAAAAGAGATCGAAGCATGCGCACTGCGTACACAATATGCTAATGACCTTTAACTAGGTTATGACGTAGACATATCTCATGGATATTATTAGTGCAATTATTAATAGAAAGCATTTATTATGAAACGCCAGAATCACGTATATTCGGCCTTGAGCCCCACTCTTTCTATTGTGGTAATTTGAAGACTGTACATGCTTTCTATCATACTGAACCTTAGTCTGAATGAGCGTAGGCAAGCCTCAATAGGTTTCGATTGTATATAGCGCCACCAGTGGCTGCTCTCAGGCTCCATGCGACCAGTCTTTTTTTTCTAAAACCGCAATGTAAATATATCTCAGAGGCTTTACCCGAATTTGTTCAGCCCCCATGTACATTTACATTGATATGACCATATAAGGGTTGTATTTAAGCGGATAAAATGAACAGCGAAGCATGTGCTCATACGCTCTTTGCTGGTGAAATGACGACCATATTATTTCTGCTCAGGGCATTGTTTGAAACTTACAGTTATCTGTCTGTACACGCATAGTCCATGATAGCAAAAACTAACATCGACCAAACTACTAGTCTTCTGACATTTCTGACCAACACGAATAATAATAATATAGTATGGGGACTACTATACGAGGTATGCAAATGATGTAATAATGGAATAGACTATAGTATCTTATTTCAAAGCTCAAACCAACCTTATCAGACGGGAGCTCCTTTCACATACGTACTATTATTTGAGGGGAAAAGAATGCTTGATCGCAGTAGAAATAAACGGCGCGAGGAACAGATAAAGTTTTTTCAATGGCTTCGGTAGTGAAATTAAGGAAATAAACTGTCATTTTACAGTGATACCCGCGTATTACTTCTGAAACCACCGCGACAGGAAATCCTACTTTACAAAAAAAACCTAGAGCAAGCACGGGACTTAGAAATGAGAGTTAAGTTAACCATTATATCCGTATCAAACGTTTCCTTCCGAAATCTGTGCATAAAATATATCAAGATACTGTAACACCATACCGTCTGACATGGTCACGATTTTTGTAAAGCCCATGATAGAAGACCGCGCTGGATTAAATCAGGAAACTGTTATTTTTTTCTAATCCAAAATCAAGAAATGCCCCACGACATGTTACGGTTTCCGGATACCATATACATGATTTCCCTGTATATAATAATCTTGTGGGCAGTACCTATATGTAGATGAGAACGTATGGCCAGTTGTACCAGAATATATACATCGCTCAGGCAATATTAGATAATAGTTGGAAAAAAACTCAATGGAAATATTTTTATAATTACTTCAGAATTGCGCTGTAAATCACTAAATCACGTTTTGCTGTGTCGTTTCATTACATACACGTGCCTATTCGTTCTATTCTATAACAATGAAACGCGACATTCTTAGGAGTGCGCACACAAAACCGCCGAGGGCGCATAATAAACAATACAAAGTACAATACGATGGCCACGTTATCAGTGTTATACAAGCACACCGCGCAATCGGTTGTACACATAGACGCAGCCAGTATAAATATATAAAGTCGCTACCATTCATTTATCATGACGTGGTAACAATAGAATAGACGGCACGTAACTTGCCAATTTGTGACCGGTTTTAAATCGATTTTTCCACTGGACTTTCACTCACGTACGGATTTCTATTTTCAACACAGCTGTATTTTCTTTGAAAATCTAAAATCATGCTCTTCAATGAAAAAACTAATATTCGGGTCAATAAAGAAAATGTACATGCGACGACAGCAAACTGTGGTTACGTATACATGTAGCTATCATCAGTTGCATACTGCGCATGCGTAGACTTTAAAATCTCGTTGTGATTGATATTCACAACTAGGTCATTCGAGCTGGATGTGAATATCAAAGGCAACGACGAAAGTCCAAGGACAACGCATGCCTGGCTATTGAATTTGTTTTTTTTAATTGTGTGTATTTTAATACTAAAGTTAATGTTGTACCAAATCAATAATAATCAAACCCGAATAATACTTAATCACACACTAAGATTACCTACTTATTTATTTTATTCCGGTTAAAAATACAAAACAAAAACAACAATAACAAAACAAGACACACACAAAAAACTAAGCGTCGCTGTTTTTTAGGTCAAATTTAGGTCAGCAGTGAACTGCAAGTACACTCAACACTAGTGCAGTAAGGTTAACAGTTACTGCCGATCATTTGAATTAATACCTAAAAGTGGTCAGCGCTTTTCTGTAAGCGGCGATTTACCATATTCACGCAACTAACACGTAACCTGAAATTAAAGTATTAAACGTCATATGTTAACTCCGCTGTGTTTGGCACTCATATTCGGTGCACTTTGCGTCGTATTGTTGTTTGATAAGTAGACGTTTTGAATGACATGGCGTAATATGCACGTACTTACCAGGCTAGTAAGAAGTAACCAATTGACAAGAATACAGACGAGACGCTGATTGATATTATCCATTATGTTACTTAATCAGTGACTGCGACAGCGGTATATATATAACAAGCTGATTGTGTCTTGAGGGGGGCAGTCCACAACTGACAAAGGAGGAAACAGCGCTTTGAAGCCGTCTCAATCTGAACAAATGTAAAGGTCGCACAGGTCCTGCTGTAAACAGCAGTACGGGTTAGCGAGAAGCGGAAGTTAACTGAAAATAACACTCCAAAGCAGGAAGTTCCGTATCACCAATCGGCAGTTTCGTCGCGCGCCACTGTACAAGGCGGTGACACTTATCACGAAATTGGAGTTTTAAAACTTGAACTACAGCTATCTCGGTGTGCTCTGCCAATTCATGTCACTGTTTTATCTGTTCTGCGGTTGCTAAGACGGTATCTCGGTTGCCATCAAATTAATCACTTGGGCATTTCCCGGTCCATAGTCCAATCTACGTGTGCCCAACTCTGACATATTAGACGGTGTTGGACCAGTGAGATTATACAATACACTTTAATATCACGGGACTGACTATATTTCGACTTCGATGCATTGTCAAAGTTATCTTTTCTGACTGAAATTAAATCAGACAATGATATTTTTTTTACAGTTTCCTCTCTGCCCCCTGACTTTATTTTGTTCTGCTGTTACAGTTGTACACTGAATTCGTTCATACAGCTCCATATGCATTACATGTTCGAATTTCATTGATTTTTAGCACACCTGAACGCTGGCTGTCGTTTCGGCTTTCCAAATGATTGTGTGAACGACTTTAATTTGAATAATGTTCCGATATGTGTACGTGGATTCACGAAAATGTGCCTTTTTTCAAATCACTACAGTAATTCGAAACAGAGTCGAATCCAGGAATATCATTAAATATTTTGACAATTCGCTCACTTTTAGACAAACAAATCTTTCATATAATAGTCGGAAAACTGCAATGAAGCTCGATAAATTGTTTTAAAGTGTAATTTTTAATTATCGAAAAACGACTGCGACTGTGTCACGTTACATTAGTGAGAACGAATACATGGCCAGGACAGTGAAAACAACAATGTCGCTATTATGAAAATATGAATACGAAGTCGAAAACTGTTGCCAACTAGGGATTTGGTGTCTGTTTTCTGGTTTCCGGGTAGGAATTCCCCCACCTTTCTATTCTCAGAAATTCCATGATGTTTTACAATGTAATACGTAGATGACTCAATCATATGTATGCTTCCCTAATTATCCCCTTTATGCAGTCACCATTTTATCATTATGTTATCTTTTTTATTTTAACCTTACACCATTTTATCATTTTTATTTAATCTTTACATCATTTCACCACTATGCTATAATTTTATTTAATTTTGCAACCATTTATCATAATGTTAGCATTTTTATTTATTTGTGATACCCTTTTTATCATATTATTCAATCTTTACATCATTTCTTAACTATGGTATCATTTTATTTAATTTTCCCCATCATGTTGACAATATGTTACTATTTTTCTAATAAATGTACACTTTTATCTTTATGTTAGCATTTTTATTTAATTTTATCATTATGTTAGCATTTTATTTAATTTTATTCAATTTCATCATTATGAATAATTTCATTATCATTATCATTTTTATTTAATTTTCACGCCATTTTGTCATTAAGTCAGCATTTCTGTTTAATATTCATACAATTTTATCTTAGCATTATCTTCCAATTTTTTTACCATTTAATCATTATGTTAACATTTTTATTAAATTTTTATTCAATTTTATAATATTATTATTTCATTGTCGTTCAACTTTGTGAACATTTTTTTCATTATGTTCTCATTTTTATGTATATTTACACATCATCATTATATTTCACGAACTCGTCTATTATTTTTGTTACCACTTACAAGCGATTTACTGATTCTCTTGCTTTGCCATACCTTCGACAGTATTGCACTGTTGTCACTAATGTTAGGTTAAGTGGCCCTCTACGTTCACCGTAAGAAGTGAAGGAAAAATGTCGACAGTACCCCTCCTTCAGCAAAGTAAGCCAAAAATCGCTAAGCGTGCAAGACGTTGTGTATTGTAAAGTTCACGCTGAGGCCGGCGTTGGGTCAAACCAACGACGCGCGTAGGATCTAATTGTAAACATTGTTAATGTCAGAGTTGACCACTAGGGTTATAACAAATTACCGTAAAACAAGCCGTACACCATTTAATTTTATTTTTTCTGCCTCCAGGGATGGCAAGGAAACTCTATCCGGCAGCATAGGACGTACCGCTCGGCAACAAATATGCACCGCTGAATGGCCTGTTTCATCAGAAGTCGGTCTTTGAAAAGTAGCTTTTGTCGGAACTTCGATGACTGGCCTTGTATGTGCACATAAAAACAAACAAAACATTGACTCTAAATGTATGAAGCAGGGGGGGGGGAGAGCACGGGTTATTTTCGTTCAACGTAATTGCAATATTTTTTTGTTCGTACAACGTACATAAACAACTGATAACTTATTATTTTAATTATGTTATCCCGCTTTTTTGAGAAATTTAGTATACGTTCAGCGGTAAGCTTAAGATGAAAGTGATCGGCCACGAGGTTTTGGATTCTTACAATCATAATTAGCATGTGAATACACGCTCATTTGTAATGTTGCAGATGAAAGACTGCAGACTGGAATTTTTAATATGAACCAATCATAGTGGGTTTGTTGTATGAATGACCAAAATACATATGTGGACAAACATATGATATTATTTATTTACGCACAATATTGTACATGCGATTGTGCCGCAATACTGGCCCGTTATGTCTCATAATATGAAAGTACGGGGCACTGTTAAAAGAGTGAGAACATGAAATTTCATAACACGCTCCTGGATATAATATTTGGCAAACTCAAATCCGATGTTACGCTTGTGAATTTACTATGTCTCAAACGGTGTCAAGAATAGTTCACTAAATCTGTCAGTATATGACGTCATCATCTCCCAATCTTGCAATTCATCCTTGTCCACGCACATCGGTCAGTGAAATCCGACGTGACTTACAACTCAAGAGTTAATGTGAAGCGACTTGCAACATCGTACCTGATTGGAGGCCATACCTTCTCACAAACAGTCGTCCAATCAGAGAGGAGCTTGCCTGTAGTCATGTTTTATTCTGCATATCAATTTCTGTTTCTATACACTGGTGATATTATACCATTAGCTAATTCAGCTGGAAAACAATACAGCTAATTAGTTCCCGTTCCGAAGGTAGTCCAAAAACGGGAAGTAGTAATTTTGGTCTCGTGCATGCGTGTGTGCGTGCGTGTATATTTCGGACACGCTTTGATGGATTCTATTCAAATTTGGATTTTGATTAAGAGAGACTATAAATTACATGTATCTAACACAAAGTTGTTTTTATGTTGTTAAATTAATGTCAATAAAGTAATAGTATTTTGCTACCTTTTTGTATTTTGTCTGTAAATCCTGATTTGAATAAAATGGCAATTAAGATAAACAATATTATTACCGCGTACCTGGATACTGACTTTCTTCTGCGCACAACTTTGCACGCAGTTTTAATAGCTTACATCCATTATAGCCAAAAACTAGTTGTACATTGAAAATACGTGCAAATTTCAATGCATTCTATAAACTTATAATATCAAAATAATCAGCACGATTTTCTACTATAAATGTGTGACATTACAATAATAAATATACAAAAAAATGGTTTATGTCTTTTTCATGTTTGTGACGAAAGCAAAAAAAAGGTATGGCACCAGCTGGTTTGCTCAGATAATCTCCCATGCAATTACTGGGTACGCCGGATTGATTTTAACTTTTGTGACAGGTCGATTACCTGACCACTCGGCTATTTAGGGTCATTTGAATTTTATTGGAATTGGCGGCTATTTAATGTTTGAAAATGTTTTAAAATTGAATTCGTTTACAGTTGTGTCTTTCGTAAGTTGACCTATGACCTCTACGTTCTTCTGCAGTCTGGACGATAATAAACGCCCATTTACGACATATTTATTCACTTTTTCGAACTTTTAATGACGGGTCTCGATAATATAACAACAGAGGTCACATTTCCATGTAAATTTGTCAATTTTGCAATCACTTTCATAACTTTGGAAGCAGTTTGTTTATCGTTTTTCATTTTGATAGTGGTACAAACTGCTAATAAAAGAGGCTTTTCCAACACATTTGCTATTTTTTTCTATATTCTTAACTGCGGGGACGATGTAACAATGACTTAGGTCAGATATATTAACAAACCCACCAACTTTTCAAATGCTTTTCATACGTTTTTAGTCTGTTTTAGAACATATTACGGTCAGCTCATATGGCACTAGTTGTACATTGAAAATACGTGCACATTTTAAAAAATTCTATAAACTTAAAATATCAAAATAATCAGCACGATTTTCTACTATAAATGTGTGACATTACAATAATAAATATACAACCAAATTAGTTATGTCTTTTGCATGTGTGTGACGAACTAATTATTAAAGGGCAAATGCAACTGTCAAATTATCAGAAAGGAAGTGAATTTACATGTCAACACACTTACCGATAGAATATCTATTTTAGGATAGATTTCACATTCAGCACACGAAGCAGACGAAATAAGTCGACGAAATAATATATTTGAATATCACTGCGACCTCATATATGATCTATAAATGTGTATTGTTAGGAAAACATTGGTATTGTTAACATTTTCACTGGGTTATTTTGTTTAATGAGAGGACAAGGATAAATAATGCATGGTTACCCATCTGTTAAAAAACGAACTGCACGTTTGAGTCAGCTGATAACATAACCTGAAGTCCACTCTATATATAGATATGTATTTTACCTGCAGACAAAAAGTTAACCATTGATCTGTGATTTTAACATTCTCTAACTGAGATTGTCAGCGTCACTTTATTGATGCTCCAAATGATTAACACCAGAACGTTCTATCTACGTTGCTAAGACGCGTACCAGTGTGTCATGTATTTCTATAGGCTCTGTGCGAGCTAATGTGAAACGCCAGTCGAAGAGCCGGTAAAAACAGCAAGGTCGGGAAAACAGCATAAACTCAACTTTGAAGTAATCCTGAACAACCGAATTTATATATTTTGCACATGTACGGGTAACATTGTTACACTTTTCAATAGAGTCTCAACTATCAACTATCCTTAAGTACATTTGTCTCGAAGTGTTCGGCCCTAGTTTTTACCGTGATGGTTTCCAGTTGGTGCAAATACCCGGATGGACAGAGAGGATAGGGAATTCAGTTGGAATCAAGAAAATAATACACTTGAAGAATATTGATGTTGTATTATTCAGTGGAAAGCATTTTCACATATTTTTTACAGAACAAACGTTGTCACGTTTTTACTCTCTAATGTGGCTTTTACTTGTTGTTGTTCTACCTCCACCTTGCACATCCTATGACTATGACAGTAGTTTGATGAGACACGTGAATTAGTGTTTGTATGTATTTTACGTGTATATTTGTTTTATACGAAGCTGGGGACTCTAATGGCTAGCTCCTTAAGCAAAATTGTCATGTTGCCATTTTTTTCAATAAATCCCACGACCACTATATACACTGTCAAATTTTAGAATTATGAAGGGATGAGAAATTAACTGTAAAATAAAAATATAAAAGAAATTTCTAAAATAACCCTGTTCTAGAAACTCACGCACTGATACAGAATACATTGTTTGTCAATGAAAGCCAATGTCATTGCCGATGTGTTCAAGCAATACAACGCTCCAATAATATCAAAAGAAAATAGAAACGCATTTATCATATATTTTTAAAGCTAAAACTGTGTCATTTTAACACATTTCTTGTTTTATTTAGTTATGGGAGTGATGTTGTACATATTTATGCTATGTGTCACATCTTCTTCTGGTTTGATAGACACGTTTATGTAACGAAACGATTTTTAATTTCATTCATTATAGTCTAACGGTTTGTTCTGCAATATTCCATTATAATTGTTTTAAATTCTTACGTGGTGGTCGTGCTTGGTCATTAATTATTCCTGCTATGTCTTTGGAATATTCATTGAATCAACATCTATACAGTCACTGCAGCCAAACATGGCATCCATATTAAAGATACGTCAAGCCTCAATGAACCCCCTGAAAGGTAGTACAATTTTACTTGTAAACTGTTATATTTCCTCTGTGCATTTTGTGCAAAAATGTATGTCTTTATAACAAAATTGTCTATTATTTTATTCCTCTTGTAGCACAGCATATCTTCAGCATATTAAATGCTTCTTGTTGTCAAAACTCATTTTTTCCAGACGCTTCAAGGTCGTATGTTGGGCGATTATACTTGCAAATATGCGGGTGTTGTAATAAAAAAGCAGAGTTGAGGGAAGTATACAAACTACCATATCTATAATTCCTTAACTGTTGCTTGTGTCAACTAGATAACAATGTTTACACAAAAGACTCGGCAAACATGTATTATGCAATTTTCCGAGAAAGGTACGTAAACATTTTATTGTATGTTTCGTTACTCAAAAAACGCACAATCGCTTGGTATGGTATAAAACGAAGCATGATACGTTTGTTTATATATGAACCTATATGTTTATATATGACTGGCCAAATGTTTCTGTATTTTTATAATTTTGTGGAAATTTGTTATATTTTTATTTTTCAGAAACAAACTTTGTTCAAGTGTATTGTAACTACATTGTTTGAGTTTCAATTATTGTTTGAGTCTCCATTATTGTTACCCATCTGTTACTTAATATAGCTATTTTTACCTATCTAATTTAGTATTTTAAACTTCTTAAATATGCGTAACAGAGTATGAACACAATGTAATCAAGTGAAATACAATACAAATTATATGATAAATTCAGTTTAAAAAAATTAAATAAATGAAAATTGAATATAATAATATGTTTATTTGCTAGTGATATTCAAAATAATACCAATTGTAATTGACAAACTTTACATGTTCAATTTTCATTGCTGGGAAGCAAAATCATCTGGTCAAGGCCAAGCTTCATATGAATTATATTTAATGTGGGATAGAGCTAGATATTTGATATTTAAATGTAATGCAAGTATTTAAAAACGCAGAAGAAAAGATGATTGTTACAATTAAAAAAACATTCCTAACAAAAACAAATATAAAATTAAAATATGAATTAGTAAATCAATAAATAAGGTTACCATGTTACCATACAATAGGACCAAATTAACATGTTTCCAATATTATTATTATTTATTTCAAAAAGTAGCATTTTAAGTTGTTTCATCTTGTGACTGTTTTTTAGGCTTTAAAACAAGTAATTGGATACAAGTCAAGTTATAGGCATTTTGTATTCATTAAAATCGTGGGTAAATGCGGCTAAACCATTTCCATGGCACCTTCAGAGCGACATTTTGTTTATCAACTTGAATATTCATTGATAGTATGAATGAATGTTTTCTGTTGGTATGTTTTTGTATGTGGATGACTAGACTGTCCCATTTGTAACTTTTAATGTGAAGTCTGCATTATAACGAACTACAGAATACAAATACCCTGACGGTATGGCTAGTTAACCAGCACGTAACTTTCCTTGCTTCAGCATGGAAATACCTGTTATTGTTTTTTTATTTCCTTTGAATTTGGGAAGTTTTTATAACTAATGACTTTATTTGTTTATCATCGTAACTGTAGTTAGTCTATAGACTGATTGTAAACACAAAGCTACAATAATTTTATGGAAGAGACATACTACGTGTTTATTGCGCATGATTTATCAGTAAATTATTCACCAAATATAGAAATCCCGTTATTATTGTCTACACACCAAGGCTAAGAAGAGTAATTCATAGTCTGTTGTCTACTTCTAGAACAATATGTGTCTTACAAGTTCAGCTAAAATGGCTTGATGCGTTTTGCAAACAATACGTCATAGATTGGTTTTGATTCCTCTAATGTGAAGATGTTTTTTTCTGGTACTATGGACAAATCAATCGGGGTGTCTATGGTCGGTAGTGGATGAAACTTGGAACTTTCAAGTGCATTGCCAAACCAAATATTGCGATCTTTGCTCTTTTCAAAAGATGGATCCCAACCATCCATGTTTTGCGATTTCCATCCGAGCATATTTTCGCAGAATGTCACACCAGTCTTTTGACAGAACTGTCTCAGCACCATCTCAGGGAAATGAGACAGATCGTGAGCATCAATAATTATACACGGTTGGTTTTGTTCAGTGAGATAATCGTATAAATCTAATACTGGTTTGAGGCTACCGTATGAATATCTACGTGGAAATAATGTTCGTCCTGAATTTATTGTTGCTCTCCAGAAACTTGGAATACTTTCGTTTGGTTCACGAATCAAAAACGTATTAATGTATCCTTCCGGGATTTTGTCGTATCTTCCAACTACAAAATCAGCCATATCTTTAAATACAATCATCGTACTACCTGGGTAGTCGGACTCTAACATCATTTTTACTTCCTTGTAACGGCCATTGACATATGTTGGATTATCTTCTAAATATTGATCACATTCTTCTAAGAATGGAATTGCATATGGTTCCATAAACGTTTTTGTTTTTTCTTGACCTGCAAAACATTGTAGAAGAGCTGTTGATGTACTCCGTTGGTGTGTCCATATTGCAACACGACAAGGGTGTTCTGACGTCATTGCTACCTATTGAAATAATGGGATGTATATTAATATATAACAAGCTACAATTTGAGAGCATACACACGTGCAGTATGTTTACAGTATCGTCTGAGGCCAGTACTGTTTGGAATGAGTGTCTTCACAGTGATTAAGCTGCCGCGATTATTTCTAGGTTAAGTATGGTGAGTTACAAATACTTGATGCTAATGTCCGACATTTCCTCTTGAACCCAGACGAACGAAGGGGTTTCTAATGTGCAGATCCAAAAAAAATTAAAGCTGCAAAAACGCGTGCAATGTATACTATTATTATTCATCTCTCACCATAACGCCGTAAGTTACAGCATGTCGTAATTTAGCGATATCTTATGGAGTAATTTCATCCTACTATATAAGGAAATGCGAATTCCAAATAAGGAATGATTACGCGCGTAAGCGTCCTCTAATACTAAAACAAACATGGCTGCTACCAGGGTTTGACTGGACTCCACACAAAGAAGTTCGCTGATTCTAGTGTACCTAGTGCACTTTTCAATCGAATTTACCCTGGCTCTCTGTTGTCGGAAAATGTAAAAGTCATAAAAATAATCTGAATTACGTTCGGATAAAGAATAGAAAATAAAGGATCTATCGTCCAAACGCAGTGACAAGAAAAGAATCGAAAATTATCCATAAGTGTCACCATTTTTTGCTACCTTTGAACCAATTAGACTGCAAGCAAAATGTGATTCTCCAACTCCACCGACCTTCAATCATTCACACAGCGACGTCTCATAACATTAAACAGTGTGTTTTAATTAGTAAGTTACTCGATTCATCGGCGCATACCCGTATATCTAGCTATGAATCAGCGTCGTAAATTATGTCAATCATTAACATAGATTATAGAAGCTAACTAATATATGCATTGATAGTCTTTCACATTTTACGTAAATGGACATTAGTTATGAAAAATAGCAAAGGTTAAAATGAATGTCTCGTATTTTTTGGTAAATCGGTATGGCCGCGTAAGTAAACTATGAAGAAATAAATTAAATGCATGCAAATGATTTTGACATTATTCACCTCTTACAAATACGACCTTTGAAACGTGCAGTAAGTCCGTCCACAACTAAACCGCCATTTGCAATTCACGATTCCAATAAAGATTAATCTCCCCATACATTATATAATACATATCGATTTTAGAAAGAAGTGAATCGCTACTCGCCAACTGAAAGTCACGGTTTTGCAGCGCTCCACCTAGCACTGAATCCCTGGCTATGTGAGAGAGTGTTTCATTGTATTCGGCCGCTAGACTTACCCAGGGGTAAGTCGGTATACTTAGTTGCCGGTACATTCGCCGACTCACTCATGAAATAATGCAAGGTAGAAAAGCTTTTCCACCATGACATCGAAATTGTCCGAAAATTTCGTTCGGCTTCCCACAACTCAAGTATGATATATATTACGTACCCAGCGCCTGTTCTTCCGGTTGGATGACTGCAGAGTTGTACCTACAAGATTAAAAAACACGAAATCTACCAATGAGTGTTATATTAATGGCTGGTAATAACAATTATGCACCTCTTTACGCACTATTTCACTCGCTCATGAAGTACGACAAACATCGACGCAAACGTTAAGCAATCTTTGAATTCTGATTAATGCGCCTGCGCAAGATTGGACAGACTGTCACATGACCGAGTCACCTGACCTCTTCGTTGCGTATTTACGACGAAGTCTGACGAGTTTCACTGTGCAAATTGTGAAACGTTATTAAATAAGGCAAACAAATTCTGTAACAGAGTGGCAGTCCGATCAAAAATGCACCGATCGAATTTACCAGCAGATTATGTAAATGTGGGCTGCAAGTTGACTCCGATACAGCATACGATGTGCTGCATGCGCCCAAATATTGGCTAAACTTATATCACCTAAAAATACATATACAGCAGCAGTTCAGATTTTTGGGAATGCAGTTTAAACTTTTTGAGGACGTGTTCACAAAGTGTAATTAATCTTACACACAAACTCTGTACGTGACTAAAACTGCTATGTTACAAGATGACGTGTGAATTAGTTACATTAATTTGATGTCGCGGTACTTACACAAGCTGAGCAGATGATTTTCATCAGATTGTTCTCTTCAGATATATATCTTAGTTTAATCTGATCGTATAAGCCAGCATTCATGTGATTTAGAAAAGAAAATTGAAGCACACGATCTAAACTAGTAGCAGAAAAGATCGCTTGTGTTCGAAGTATCTAAGTAGGTCTAACAATATTTTGGGAGCTTAATAGAGCTGACATTTCTTGTATTGCCGATTGGTATGTAGATTTAACTAACGGAAAATCGTTGACTGCAATATATTTGATAGTTTCAATTACCGTGTTTCTTTCTAGTATGTGGAATTGAACTAATGTAGATACAATACAACTTTGTTTTTAAATAGCATGTTATTATTATACGAACAAACACAGAAAACAAACTGTAAAAGAAAATACAAAAACAAAAGATGATTTTGTGTACGAATACCGTATTTAATTACTTAAATAATTTAATTTATAAAATGTAAGTTGACCTTATTATTTCTTTTTGCAATTTCTTATTCAACTTGTCTATTGGATATGACAAACATCTTAAATACATAATATGACAACATTTTGTTTTTTGTACTACATAGATTTTGCTCTACATAGGTTTTCAGGTGAGTTGTATATCCCCAAAATAATATTTTTGCAGTTACAGCTTATATGTCTAATTACCTCAAACTGTTCTTGCACCAATATCCACAATTCTTGCACAAAGTAAAAGCGTAAAAAAAGTGATGTAAGGTTGTTGTTTTCATTAGCATTGACATAAAAAGAGCATGAAGATGATGTAATTTACTGCTTGTAACAATGTCATTTTGAAGATTTTGGTACTGAAATGCTCTCAGAGCACTTGATATAGTAGTTATGAATGGCAATTTAAAGATTACAGTAATATGTTCTGCTGAGATATCATAAGAGTTCCCAAATGTTTGCACTATCGCAGGTGGCTCAATGATCTGTTTACATAATTTTGTGTAAATTATTTTAGTTGTTAAGGATTTAATATTTATGTACTCACCTTCCCCCAAAAAAACTATTATGATCAAATTCAAACCAGGTATGTGTTGAGTTAAAAATAATTTGCTTCCAATCTTTAGGTATAGCTGTGATAAGACCTTTAATTTGAATGAATTCAATGAATGTAATAGCCTTCTTATTCCACTACTTCCAATTATGAAAACTCCCATCCTGATTAATTAAACCAATAATGCCTCGATTTGCTAGAGATTTAAAATAAATTGGTTTGTTTGCAATTTTAATAAAGAAATTGTTCCACAACGCTTGATTGTCAATTTCATACACAGAATTGGGGGAATGATGCATTGAATGTGATCATTCTCTCATAATGTCAACATAAAATGGTGGTAAATTGTTTACTTAACTTTTAACATCACCATTACATGATAATACATGTCTGCCACTTTTGATAATTATTAATGGTTCTACAATGTTTCTTCAACCAGCTGGTTCTGACGAAAACAATCATAAAACCCATTTCATTCTTTGTGCTTTTAGAAAAGATTCAATTTGCATCACGTTCTGGCCTCCATTCTCTATACCCACAATAAAAGAAGTTCTTTTGACTCGGTCACAACCTTTCCTTATATAACAAGTCATTGAAAATGACACAGTTCCCGTTCAAACTGTTCAAATTAATTCTCATGTACCAAACTTGGTCTTGACAATATTCAAGAAATATATTTACGTGGTTAAATACCAAAACTGTGTACATACTGAGTATGACAAATAAGAAAAAACAAAAGAAAATGGTTTACAATGCACTGATCAAGTACTTTCAAAACATTTTTCAATGCAGTGTTCAATGTCTGAGACGCAGTGACAACGTCAAAGTCAACTTCAGAAAGGCACCCAAAATGATTTGGTCCGAATGAAATGCAGCTATTTAAATCAACAAGCAACCTGTAAATACATACTGGAATGACTTGTTAAGTTTTAAATACAATATGTCCCATATCTAGTATGTTATCAATAGTCATACTGCTAGCAGTACTGACATATTAGCAGTATCCATAATCATTGAATATACCAAGGTTATAAGACTTCAGAGGTGATACCTGAATATTTAAGTGAACCTTAATGAGCATAACCTGCAATCACTAATTTATCTTGACCCGTTATTTCACAATTTGAAGTAGGACCAGCACTGCCTTCTATATCATCACTTAGCAACAGAATCATTCTCTTACTGTACAAATAAAGTTGCATAAATTCACACAGAAAAAAAGTTGTTAGTGTTTTTATTACAAACTTCATTTGGTGTACAATGACAAATTCGAAGTTTAAATACATAGTTCTATATTTATATTTTTTATAATAAAATAAACGTGTCATAAATGAAGATTTGTAATTGAAGTCAGCAAATCTTCTGTAATAGATTTGTGTATATTGCAGAACTATGTGGTATTGTTGCAGCCATCAAAATTGTCTTTCACATCCAGATCCTGAAAAAAATACAAAAACAATTTACAAACAATATACAGTTTACATAAATCCTCCGAAACCTTGCAACAATAATTCAGTTCTCTCAAATGCACATTTAAACAAATGGATTCAAACAAGTGACCTTGGATGTAGATGGCGCTGTGACAAGGTGACCTACTATATATTGAAAGATGGCGGCCCGCCGTGTTTGGTCGCAAATTATGAAAGATCGTCACGATATTAACGTAGCTAGTTCACGTCATTTAACAATTTCAGCTAGATAAACACTGAGTTACACAAAATTATTATTTTTGTAAATAATAACTGGTAAAAAAGATACAAACGAGAGCGCCAGTGATCAAATACAATTGCACTAATACATAGACAGCGCAGTCCATTGACCACCGGCTACCACAGTCAGCTGGCATCGGTGTCGTTGGATGTATATGATAGAGGGAAGTTGTGCAACCAAATTTGCCGAGTTCGCAGTTTTTCGCCGAT